GATTATTACATTCTGATTCTTAACATTTTTATTGTTGTATATTTCTAGTTAAGTTGCTTGTAAACTGATAATTGTCAACAATTAAATAAAATATCAGAAATTTGTTTTTGGTATGATAAAGTATTATAGACCCTTAGTTACTTAAGTATTGAAAAGTAAAGTAATTTAAATACAATTTTATTTAAGTAACAATTAGAGTAACTTATCTAACATTGGTCTATCACACATTAATACATAAAGCGGTCAAAAGTTYAAACTTTGGAMTMGACGTCAGGATATTTTTAGTTATGTATCATTTAAGTAAAAATTATCAATAATATAAATACCTAATGAAATGCCTGAAACATTAGCAATAGTGGATTCATCAATTGTCAATATGCTATTTCTGTTATAGCACAATTCTATTACAACAACATCTGGTTTTACTGCATTTATTACCTATTAATTAAATAACAAAAAAAAAAAATTAAGTAAATATTTCATTATATCCAGTATTTTATATCATAATATACTTGAGCGACATCTTCTTGACTCTCTTTACTAAAATGAGCAGTACCAACAAGATACACTACAGAACCATTTGATGATTTAAGTACTGTGACAGTGTCTGGAAACGTAACTTGATTGTCTACCATTTCAAATATTGTTAGTAACTCAACTAAAAATTAAAATTTAAGTACTTAAAATTAATTCTGATTGTTGATTTAGAAATGAAAARATAAAGATTTACTAAAATTTGTTAAGAATTATTAGATAATCTATTTTATAGTTTTACTGGTTTTAACTGTTTTTAATACTTACTTAATAGAGATTTTTTTATTTTCAGATRCCTAAGGTACCTATATTATATTCAATTTTTGAATATTATTATCTAATCAGATATCACACGACACGTAATCAATAATTAGAATAGATAAAACCATAGACCTTCCCCTATAATATATATAGCAAGCTGCAGCCTGCAGCAGCTGCTGGTCTATGGATAAAACCAACCACGGTTTAATCAGTTTAACCACAGAACAATATTAACGGTATGCTGACAAAATATAGATCCCGGTAACCCATAAACCTATTAAGAAATGGACTGCGCGTTCCTTAAGTTGAATATATTCAACTTCGCGGTATATGTGGGAACGTCATGGTATCACTAGTTGAATCTGGCAGAATACCGTTAATCAACCAAGTCTAACCGCGTGGTTAAGCCAATCACAGCACTGAAAATATACACGACACTACACGACACGACGAGGTGTGAATCCACCTTTATAGTACCCACAGGTTTGACGATTTGAACACTGAGTGAGAGAGAAAGACTATAACTTACCCCGAATGTGGAAGAAATAATAAAATAGTTTATTTTTCTAAGGTTTGATAAGAATTATCTTAACTGATAAGAGTGATAAACAAAAATTATAATTTGATTTGGTASTTTTCAAGTTGTTAACTTTAAATTGATCATATATTAAATCAAGCTCCAATGAATAATCATTTGTTACAATTGTTACATTTAATTTTTAAAACATATTTCACTATTCGTGTACATCATTACACAAAACTTATAAGYCAACCAAAAGAAAGAAATAGATCTTATTTAGCAAAAACAATACATTTTAAAAACCAATTAATAGTATTAACATAACAATGACTACCTATATTTGAACTATTTATCAGTCTGAATACATTGATGTAAATACTCGACCTAATTTTTTGTCCACCAATCTGTAGAAAAAGGATGCACCTTTGCACTATGAAGTATGAACAGGAGATTGATAAGGAATCATAAGCCATGGTTAGCATATTATATTTGATGTCTGTATTGACATCTTTCTCAAATAATAAAACATAAATATTGAATTTAAGTATAATATGTGAAATATACATATATATTTTTTTACTTGTATTTATTGAAAACAGGAAATTGGCATAGTGTGATAAAAAAAAAAAAAAAAACTGAGTAAAAATCAGTACACAAATGTAATAAACTCAAGTTACAAATTATTTCATAAATTTATCGGCACATTTTTTTAGAATTTTACATGATTCTTTAGCATGCATGAATAATGACGCTGTTTCTTCTATATCTATTCGTAATATTGATCCATGTCCATTCATCTTGGCATTTTGTGACGACGGAGTTAACAATTGAATGGCATACCTGATAAAAATTAAAAATCAATTTCATTAATAAAACATAAAAATGATTTTTACTRAGTKACATTGTTAAGTGTCAAGCATAAAATATATCCAACATCTAGGTTGTTATGACATTGTAATAACATGTTGCTGATCCATAATAGCAAGGTATATACTATAACCAGGGTTCGTAAGTTCATGCATCCGCATGTTTTTTCTGCTACACAGGAA